GAGTAAGTCTGCTATGAACATTTCACCTACAGTTATGTTTGAGTTCCTGTTTTCAAATCTTTTGATTATATACTATATACTTACAAGTGGACTTGCCAGGAGATCGAACTTGGTAAGTTAAAATGCAGCAAACTTTGCTGTTCTTACCAATAGTCAGCCTTTTTTTTTTTTTTTTTTTTAAATTAAATAAATACTCCCTTGGTTGCTTCAAGCCTTTGATTCATTTCTAGAGTTTAGAAAAAGTTAATTCTGGCAGTTCTTGCCCATTTTTTTCCTTCCCTTTTTGGAATAGTGAAATTGGGATTTTGGCCATTTTTGCTGATGTCAGTGATAGATATCATTTTAACATTTTCATTTTATTTGCTAGTATATAGAAATATAGTAACTACCTGGTAAGTACTTTTTAAAAAATGAATAAAAGATTTTCACTTATACAAAGGTTAGATGATTTATAAGCTAATTTTTTTCTAAAGATGTTGTCACCAAACGTCTTAAAGATTTATAAGAGATTGTCAGCTGTCCCTTATGAAATGCAAAGTATACCTTCTGGAAGGACTTATGTTACTTTTAAAAATATGTTAATGTTGGCTGAGCATGGTGGCTCATACCTGTAATTCTAGCACTTTGGGAGGTGGAAGCGGGAGGATCACTTGAGGTCAGGAATTTGAGACCAGCCTAGCCAACATGGTGAAACCCCAATCTCTACTAAAAATGCAGAAATTAGCTGGGTGTAGTGGTACAGACCTGTAGTCCCAGCTACTCAGGAGGCTGAGGCAGGAGAATTGCTTGAACCCAGGAGGCGGAGGTTTCAGTGAACTGAGATTGCAGCACTCCACTCTAGCCTGGGCAAAAGAATGAGAATCTGTCTCAAAAAAAAAAAAAAAAAAAAAAAGGAAAATAAAAGGACTCCATTTGTTTCAGAAGCTTACAGAAAAGGCCAGGTGTGTTGGCTCACGCATGTAATCCCAGCACTTTGGGAGGCTGAGGTGGGTGGATCACGAGGTCAGGAGGTCAAGACCAGCCTGGCCAACTGGTGAAACCCAGTCTCTACTAAAAATACAAAAATTAGCCGGGCATGGTGGTGCATGCCTATAATCCCAACTACTCAGGAGGCTGAGGCAGGAGAATAGCTTGAACCTGGGAGGTGGAGGTTGCAGTGAGCCGAGATCACGCCACTGCACTCCAGCCTGGGTGACACAGTGAGATTCCATCTCAAAAAAAAAAAAAATACAGAAAAGAACAGAGTGATTAAAGGTAAAGATTAAACACAGTGAAGAGAATAAATTAATCCAAAGATAGATCTGAGGAAATTCTCTAAACTTGGAAATGGAAAACACAAGAGCAGTTAATAAATAAAATACGGAAGATAGAATAAGACCTGTTAATCCAACATATGACTGTCTCCTGAGCAGAAAGCAGAAAATGGGAGGAGAGGAAAGAAGAATATTCAAAGAGAATAGATGAGACTTTTCCAGAGTTAGAGAGGCACAAGAGTCCTCAGCAAATTAAACAAAAATTCATACCCTTATGCATGTATTGGAATTATAGTATTACAAAGATTTTTAAAAAACTGATAAAACTACTGGAGAAAAAAGGTAGATTTGCTTTTAGAAGAACATTATATTTACAACAGAATTTTCTTCAGTAAAGGCAGATGTCAAAATATAATAGCATAGTATATTCAGAATGCTGAAGAAAAATAGCTCTGAATCCAAATAACTATATTCAGATAACTAGGTACCAGGGAGAAATAAAGCCATTCAGATAAAAATGGTGTTAATATTCTCAGACTGTTGAGTAAGAACTGTTAAGTTGTATACCGTAGTAAGACGACTGACTGCAGGAGGAAAGGGATAGGAAACAAACAATCATGAGCCAAAAAAAAAAAAAAAAAGATAAAACCGGTAAACATGTTGGTAAACTTAAGTAAGTATTGACTGTATAAACTAGCAATACTGACTATTAATTTAGGGATTTTAGAACGAAAATCCTAGCAAATGAAAAGAAATTCTTTGCCTGATCAATTGGAAGGAAAAATATTTTTTTAAATAGGTAAAAATTGAAGGGTAGTCAGAGAACAGTTAAAATCTATAACTTGCTAATGGAGGAAATCCAACAGAAGGACAGAGCTTTGTAGGAAGGAGATTGAAAATAGTTTAAATAATTCTTAAATATTCATGGTGAAAATTGGTAAAAAATAAAATACATAGCTTACTGTTTGGGGAAAACAGGACAGAAAGGAGAACAAAAAGTATTGAAAAAGCTCTGTAAAGAGAAAACACAAAGTAAGATGGTGGAAATAAAATCCCTGTATTAGTAATCATAATATAGGTAAGTATATTTTAGTACGGAGTTGAAAGTAAAGAGGTCAGACATGGTGGCTCATGCCTATAATCCTAGCACTTTGGCAGGCCAACATGGGAGGATCTCTTGAGGCCAGAAGTTCAAGGCCAGCCTGGGCAACATAGCAACATCTTGTCTCTACCAAAAAATTTCTTTTTTAATTAGAAAATAGTCTATGGCCATATCACTCTGAACACGCTCAATCTTGTTTGATCTTGGAAGCTAAGCAGGGTTGGGCCTGGTTAATACTTGGATGGGAGATTGCCTGGGACTACCGGGTGCTGTAGATGTCAGGGGGAGGGCAGGTGGGCAGAGAGGGCATTAGGGAAAAGAGCTAATACATACTAGGCTAATACCTAGGTAATGGGTTGATAGGTGCCGCAAACTACCATGGCACTCATTTACCTATGTAACAAACCTGCACATCCTGCACATGTACCCCACAACTTAATAATAAAAGTGAAGAGAAAAAAGTGTTCAGTAATAACTTAAAGTTGGTATAGAAGTAGACAAAGTATACTCTATGGTAGAATTATTAAAGATAAAAAAAATTCATCAGGAAGACATAACAGTTCTGAACAAGGTTCAAATCTAACAATATACTAAGATGCATAAAGAAAAATGGACATTAGGAAAAATTTGTAAATCCTGGTAAGTTGAGACTGAGCAGAATAGAAATTAGTAAGGATGTGGATCTGAATGTCACTCAGCTTGATTTAATATTTGTCTGGAATCATATACTCTAAAATTATAAATCACACATTTTTCTAGCATATATGGAAAATATGTACAATTTAATCATCTTTTAAGGCCAAAAATAGACCATAGATATAGGCTATGTTCATTTATTGAAATAAAAGTAGAAATAAGCCTAACCTTCATGATTTGGAAACTGAATTTCTCAGTTTATAAATAACAGTTCATATGGAAATCCTAAAATATTTAGAATTTAATGACAGTAAGAGCAGAACATAGGAAAACTTTGAGGATATAGCTAAAGCAGCTGCCTCTTAGAGGAAATTTTATAGCCTTAAATGCATCAGAGAAAGCATAAAATGTAAAACTTGCTAAGGGAGGAAATTGAGTAGGAGGGCAGAACTTTGTAGGAAGAAGACTAGATTGAAAATAGTTTAAAGATTTTTTTTTTCCAGAAAAAATAAGTGTTCAAGTTAAGTAGAGGAAGAAAACTCAGAAATAAAGGTAATAGACATAAATGAAATAGAAACAGACACAATGGAGCATTCAGCAGTAAAAGTGAATGAAGTAGTTTCACGCATCAACAAAGTTGAATAAAAGAAAAAAGATGGTGGCTCATGCCTGTAATCCCAGCATTTTTGGAGACTGAGGTGGGCGGATCACCTGAGGTCAGGAATTCGAGATCATCCTGGCCAACATGGCAAAACCCCATCTCTACTAAAAATACAAAAATTAGCCAGTCATGGTGGTGCACACCTTTAATCCCAGCTACTTTGGAGGCTGAGACAGGAGAATCACTTGAACCCAGGAGATGAAGGTTGCCGTGAGCTGAGATTGCACTACTACACTCCAGCCTGGGTGACAGAGCAAGACTCCATCTCAGGGGAAAAAAAAAAAAAAGATGTGGAAAAAGAAGATGTTTTAGTTCCATTACGTACAACACTAATTATACTAATATGTTGCTTAAGGCTATGTACGTAGTTGGTAAAATTAAGAGCAAGGAATTGAAAAACTATTCAGGATATTGGCTGGTTGAATGTTAATTGGAAGAAGTGCTCAGGGAGAAGAGAAGCATAGGACAAAAAAAAAAAAAAAAAAAAAAAAACAGGCTGCAAATATATTGGAAATATTTTAGTCTTAAACTGGGCAGTGGAGATAAGCTTTAAATTATATTTTAAACTTATGTATGTGTTATATATTATTTTACTTTCATGAAAATAACTTGGACCTTTACAGAAAAGGTTCCAGAAGATACATTTTTTTGAAGAGTTTTGTTTTCATTTTTAAATAGGCTTTAAAATACATATACTCTAATATTCAGAAATAGCATAGATAGAATTTCTATCTTTATCCACCTTCTGTTTAGGTATAAATAGTTGCAAGTTTACAAACTGAACAGCCTCTCTATTTCCCGCCCAGTTGGCACTTGAGTTTTACATTGATCTGGTTCTGCCCTTTGAGTCTGCCCTATGTGGAATTAAATTTTACTTGAACTGTTTCTACTAATCTTTTGGTATTCAGTTCAATTAAAAATTGTTTGTACCTGGAAATCAGACCTTATATGTACCTGCATGTCTCTGTTTTGAGTAAGATGTTTACTATATTCTATATGGAGCAGATATAAGTCTAGGATTTATTTATTTTGTGCATTGTGGAAATCCAGTTAATGGTGCAGTTTTGGTGACTTTTACTGTTTTACTTCAAGTGTCACTTTTTTCTTTAGTGATTTTTAGACTCAATTCTCAAAGCAAGCAATGAGGTTTTAAAAAATTGTAGCCGTATGTATTTGTATTAGTAAAGTTGAACACTTACGGGTCAAATATGTCATTTCTTTTTGGTAACAGTGCCTTAAAATACTTGTTTAAAGTTACCGAGTATTCAAGGCTTAAATTAAATTTGACTGTGTCCCCAAGATTTCTTTGTTGTTTTGTGTTGTTCTTTTGTGTGTTTTATTATTATAGGCTATCGAGATGGAAGTAATTCAGACACTTCAGGGCCATCCAGAAGAGGTGGAAGAGGTAGTTTCCGAGGTTGCCGTGGAGGATTTGGTCTAGGAAGTCCAAGTTAGTAGTGGATTTGTGAATGGTGTGCTTCATCTGTTAAAAAGAAAATGATAAAAAAAAAAAAAAAAGCTATCAAAGAAGGTTGTTGGGAGGATTATATGAGAATAGCATAGCTCAGTGACTAATACACATTAATCACCCACATTGTATATAACATTATTTTTAGACAGATGTAATTGCATATTGTTTAAGATGAAATATATGAATTGAAAAAATAAGTTTGTGTGACTCAGTTCTTTAACATATTATTCAGTGTTTTAGAGCTTTGGTAATATGGCTGACCTTATAAACAGGTGGCCTTCTATGTGGCTCTACCTCCCAACATACCGTCTTTCACCAATGTGGCTTTCTACTTTAAATTTTTCCAGCCATCATTCCTTAGAGATAAGGTACTGACTTCAGAGGTCACTGTTGGAATGTATGTGCCTCTTAACAGAGGAGGATAGATTGATGGTTTTGGAAGCTAAAAACATAAATTTGTAATAATGAATAGATGTGTAGCAGATTAGTGAATTATCACTTTCACAGAAGTTTAGGGAATTTGAAGGGTTACTGTGCAGGACTGGTAAGGTTTGATTTGGCAACAGTGGGAGCAAGGGATGCTATTCTGAAGAACAATGAAGTGAAGCAATAGGAAGTTTCTCAGGCAGTTTCTAGAGATTTAACTTGCTTGTATTTTGGCATAGCACTGGCCCTAATTTATTTTATGAAGTATTTTTTTAAAAATACATTTTGAGGAAATAATTTGTCATTGAAGGATGTCATTTGTAGAGAATTCCTTTGCACAATATTTAGTTTAACCAGAATAGTATTTTTCTGTTTTACCCCACATCTTTTAACTTCTGGTACCCTAACTTGATTTTTTACTGTTTACTGAATGATTAAAAAACTTCTTAAGGATAATATGTAATCTAATTTTACTTTCTGCAAATCAAGGTAATGAATTAGATCAAGATGAATGTATGCAACGCACTGGTGGCCTTTTTGGTTCTAGAAGGCCAGCATTAAGTGGCACAGGTGAGAAATAAAACTTATTACTGAATATTAATTATTGATACATGTTTTAGCACTAGGATTTGTAAACGTAATATATATGTTTTAAGTATACTAGTTTGGCTTATGATTTGCTCCGCTTTTAGATCTGTAGGTAAAAATATGTGAACAGTTTGTCTCCCTTATAAAATTTATGTAATGTGAATTATTTCCTATGTTATCTACCAGTTAATTTGAGATCTGAATTATTAACTGGAGGGATAAAGGATTCCGAGTTAGGGGAAAATTATTTGTGTGATTTGAAGTGAAAATGAAAAGACAATTGATGAAAACTGTTCAAATGAGGTTAAGGTTAAAGTTAAACCTAGAGACTGGGTGTGGTGGCTCACGCCTGTAATCCCAGCACTTTGGGAGGCCAAGGCAGGTGGATCACTTGAGGCCAAGAGTGTGAGACCAGCCTGGGCAACATGACGAAACTCCATCTCTACTAAAAATAGAAAAATTAGCTTGGCATGGTGGTGTGCTCCTGTAGTTCCAGCTACTCAGGCGCCTGAGGCACAAGAATTGCTTGAACCCAGAAGGTGGAGGTTGCAGCGAGCCAAGATCACACCACTGCTCTCCAGCCTGGGTGACGGAGTAAGACTCTGTGTCAAAAAAAAAAAAAAGCTTAATCTAGAATTAGGAGATGGATGGGTAAAGGGACTAGGATTCTGAAGTATTAACTCTTTGTTGAATAGAAATAACCATGCAGTTTGTGTGTTTGAGGAGCAGCTGTGTTTGATCTAAATAATTTGTAAAACAACACCTTACCAGGTAATGGTGATACTTCTCAAAGCAGACGTGGCAGTGGAAGTGGACGAGGTAAGTTCTTATTTTGTTTATCTGAAAGAAGTTAAAATCATTGTAATCCAAATTTATTTTTTTCTGTACGTCAGTGGTTGGCAACAAATTTAATTTTTAAAGTTAAAGGTAACTTACCTTTTTTATGCACTGAGGACTATAAATTTACACAGCCTGTTTTAGAGCTTTCCTTAATACTCTCCAGGTTATTGCCTCTCTAATCTAGCAGTTCTGTTATAGGAATTATATACTATAGATGTATTTGCAAATGCATGTACAAGGATGTTCACTGAGACATCATTTATCATAAATAAAAACTGAAAATCACCTGAAATTCATCAATAAGAAACTGTTTAAGGCCAGACGTGGTGGCTCATGCCTGTAATCCCAGCACTTTGGGAGGCTGAGGTGGGCAGATCATGAGGTCAAGAGATGGAGACCATCCTAGCCAACATGGGGAAATCCCATCTCTACTAAAAATACAAAAACTAGTTGGGCGTCACCTGTAGTCCCAGCTACACAAGAGGCTGAGGCAGGAGAATCGCTTGAACCCAGGAGGTAGAGGTTGCAGTGAGCCGAGATCGAGCCATTGCACTCCAGCTGGGCGACAGAGCGAGACTTCGTCTCAAAAAATAAACTAAAAACAACTGTTTAATCATAATCACAAAATGGGATGCTGTGTAGAAGTTAAAGACTGAGATATATGTATAAATCCTTATTAAAACAATATGCTTTTTCTTAGGAATAGTAATTTGATTTGGTCTAAAGGATAAAGATAGCTCAATATGTATAATTTTTTACTCTTATAAGTTTTTTCTTTTTATTTTGTTGGTTTTTTTTGAGGCAGAGTCTTGCTCTGTTGTCCAGGCTGGAGCGCAGTGGCATGATCTTGGCTCATTGCAACCTCCACCTCCCATGTTCAAGCCATTATCCTGCCTCAGCCTCCCTAGTATATGGAATTACAGGCGCTGGCCACGACACCCGGTTAATTTTTGTATTTTTAGTAGAGACAGGGTTTCACCACGTTGGCCAGGCTGGTCTCAAACTCCTGACCTCAGGTGATCTGCCCACCTTGGCCTCCCAAAGTGCTACAATTACAGGCATGAGCCACTGCCCCGACCGTAAAGTTTTTTTGAAGTGTAAATACTTCAGTGTCATATAAAAGTTAAAATGCTTTCCAGACTAGTAAACCAATGAAGCTTGGGTGATGTATTTGGAAGATTCTCAATAATCATTATTAGTCCAAGATAATTCAAAGCAACAGTCCTCCTACCCCTGCTGATTCCTGGATTCTTCTATGTAGAAAAAGTTTATTAAAGACTAGCTAAACCAAATCTTCCACAAATATTCACAGCCTATGTGAAGGAGGATTTTAAGACCTGTGGATATACAGGATAAGGAAATTAGAGACTTGATATGGAAAAAGTGTTATATTTAATTAGCTTTTGAATCTAATGCAGTCATAGTACCTAAAAGTAGCACAATAGATGACTCATTATCTAAAAATCAGAAAGGTAGTATATAGAAAGCAGTTAACAGGCCTGATTGTTCATCGAAAATTCATCAGTAAATGAAATTGAAAATCTTACTTAAAAGGCTATTCCTTGGCTAGTGTATATTAGTTAGGGTTCTTCATAGAGACAGATCAAAAGGAGGGAGGGAGGAGATAGATGGATGGATGGGTAGGTGGATGATGGATGGATGAGAGGGGACTAATTAGGGGAATTGGCTCATGAGATTATGAAAACTGAGAGAGAAAGTCCTATGATAGGCTGTCTGCAAGCTAAGAACCAGGGAAACCAGTAGTGTGCTTCAGTCCAAGTCCAAAGGAACCAGGGAAGTTGATAGTGTAACTCTCAGTTCAAAGCCAAAGACCTGAGAACCTCTTGGTGCGGCGGAGTCAGGGGGGCGGGAGCTTGCCTAGTACAAGTCCTGAGTCCAAAGGCCAGAGAACCTGGAGTTCTGATGTTCAAGAACAAGAGAAGAAGAATGTCCCAGCTCCAGAAGAGAGAGAAAATTTGCCTTTCTTCTGCCTTTTTGTGTTATCTGGCCTTCAGCCTATTGGATGATGCCTGTCCACTCTGGATGAGGGTGGATCTTCTTATTCTGTCCACGGATACAAATGCCAGTCTCTTTTAAAACACCCTCCCAGACATACCCGGAAATAATGCTTTATCAGCTACCTGGCTGTCCTTTAATCAAGTCAAATTGACACCACAAATTAATCATCACAGCTAGCAACTGAAAACTTGGATTTGGGACGGGTTCCCACCACCCTAACTGGTTAAAGTAACTCATTGTGCCTAAACCATTTGTGCATTGTTTTTTTGCTGAATATTTGCTTTGCTTCTGGGAGTCTGGAATTTGGTATGTGCCAGGCAGAAGGTGAGTACAATATTAGCCCCTACTAAAAACCCTGGGTATTGAGTCTCTAATGAGCTTCTGAGTCTCTAATAATCTCTCTGGTAGATTTTACATGTGTTGTCACAGCTCATTGCTGGCAGAACTAAGCACATCCTGTGTGACTGCAGTAGAAGACATGGAAACTTGTGCCTGGTTTTCTCTGAGTTTTGCCCATGCACCTTTTTTTCTGTTGATTGTACTCCCTATTTTTTCTCTAATAAATCATAATCATGAGTATGACTATAATTCTGAATCTGGTGACTCCCAGCAGTTACTGAACTGGGGATGGTCTTGGGGCACCCCCCAACACAGGTTCTTTAGAAAATACATTCCTTTGCTGATTAGGGAAGAAATATAATGGCTTAAACAAAATGTAATAATATATAATAGTCTCATCTACATAAAATTATTTTGAATATTACAGAAACCAAAAATGTACAAGATTCTATTTGTCTTAATTGTCTCAAGTATTTGTAAGAAGGGAATTTAAAGGTTTTTTTTTAGAACTTGTTCTCTTTGAAGGCAAGCAGTGAAAATAAAGACGTGCATAGCCTTGCATCTTGACCAATTGTCATTTATGAATTTCTTTAATAGGTGGTTACAAAGGTTTAAATGAAGAAGTAATAACAGGCTCTGGAAAGAGTAAGTTTTCCTTAAACAAGGTATTTGATTTTTGTAGTGAGGGTTCTTTTACTCTTCAATTAAAAAAAAAAAAAAAAAAAAAACATACATCTCTTTCTTATTTGATCCTCTTTAAGATTCTTGGAAATCAGAAGCAGAAGGAGGAGAAGGTGGTGATACTCAAGGTATATGAACATTTGTGTGACTCACGTGGAAGTATATTGTGTTTTAATAACAATGCTTAAGTATTTTACTTAAAAACAAAGTTATCTTTTAAAAATTTGAACAGTGAATACTTTAAAAGGTAAGCAATGAAAAGTTGTATAGTATTTAAGATTTGATCTTGTCAATTTTTGTCTATTTTCCCTTATTTTTTCTTAGTCTCTGTAACGTGCATTATGTTTTTAATTTAAATTTCAAGGACCAAAAGTGACCTACATACCCCCTCCTCCACCTGAGGATGAGGACTCCATCTTTGCACATTATCAGACAGGCATAAACTTTGACAAATACGACACTATTCTTGTGGAAGTGTCTGGACATGATGCACCGCCAGCAATTCTGGTCAGTGTATTAATTATTTCTGTATTAGCTGTGTAGCAAACTTTGCTTTTAAAATACATGATACAGTTTTTAAAGCTGATACCAATACACAGATTTCACCTTTCATACCTAAGGTCTTAGGTTGAAAATTTAGAATGATGTCTTACTGTCTACAAATTGCTATGTTCAAAGAGATTAATAGATTTCATCCCCACTCCCCATACCAGGATGAGAATTTTATTAAAAAAAAAATTTTTCCTAGAGAGTCAAGATGTTTTCCCAAGATTGTGAGAAAGTGTGTCTTAGGGCAGTGATTTTTCCGAGGGGGAGCCCTCTGTCTCCTGTTGATAATTATACTTAGAACAACCCATTACTGAGCAGACTTCTTCATATCTCATAGGTTTCAAGGGGGCAGGAAAAATGTTTTTAAAACCACTGTTTATGGGAGATATTTCCTGATTCTGTCAAATCGTATTATTATATACAGGCTTTGAGTATTTACTTTTGAATGGGGGCATGTTAGTAAAGTAGTATATAAAGTAGAATTAACAGAACTTGAAACTGGCTTGAATGAAATATGCTTATAAATGATCTGCATATGATATATAGAATGTAATCACTGCTTTTTTTTTTTTCCAGACTTTTGAAGAAGCTAATCTCTGTCAGACACTGAGTAACAACATTGCTAAAGCTGGTTATACTAAGCTTACTCCTGTGCAAAAATACAGTATTCCTATCATACTTGCAGGACGAGATTTGATGGCTTGTGCTCAGACAGGGTCTGGGAAGACTGTAAGTCTTTTCCCACATGTCCAAACTGTTAAGTTTTTTGAGCTTTGATTCTTCCTAAGTAACTTGAGTTTCTTCTTTTGAGTAGAAGGTTTGTAGATGATTTCAGTGACCTGTAATAATTATTGATGGTTTTGCTTCTGATTTTTACTAGGATTTGTGTACTTCTGAAGAAAGAATTCTGAACTATTTCTAGGGTAGTGTTGCAGTCCATAGATGTTTAAGTATGCAGCTGTTTCTGAAACACGGTGGTATCTAAAACAAAGTGACTGAAAGTCAAAGCAGAGATTATAAAACAGTAAAAGAGGGAGAAAGTAATTTCTGTAATATAGCTGGTATGCTCTTGGAGTCAAAAGATAAAGAATGAGAAAGTTACATGCATTGTACATGATTCCTTAGTATTAAGTGACATCATGTTATGCTAATTATAAAAGAAGTCTGATGAGACCAGGTTGGTTTTAGGACTAATCTGGGAGATTTGTGTGTTAATTAGGACTCTGAGATGAGACTATTATTTCTAAGGTGATAGAGTCCATGAGGTCATACTATTTTAATCTTAATCACCTTTTGTAATAGAATTTTAGGGAAAAATAGGTATTGTATAGCAGCTGATGAGAGTGTTAAACATGGTTTTGGAGGTGGATTTTAGCAAGTGTCTCATTTGCTTAAATGAGAAAACTATAGCACAGAATTTCGGTTGCCAGCTGTAACTTCAGTAGGGGTAATGTGTTCAGTAACACAAATGATGATTTCCAAGATTTTACTCTGTGGACCACTTTTGTCGTCCATTCTGAGTGATAATTTTATTATGACCTCAAAAGGACTAACTTAGAGTAATTGCTCACTGTAATGATTTGCAGCAATTATATCTATTACTTTCCTCCACAAATAGACCAATGATATTGATCTACGTAGAATTCATGGGTATGCTTTTAAAAATACACTAAAAATTTGATAGGATAGATTAATTTTATCAAATTTTATATTATATAATATGAGCATAAAGACCTAAATGTTAAGAACACATTAACATGAAAGTTGTTTTTGTTTCTCATCTTAAATTTACCAGTAAGATGGAAGTAGAGTCTAAAGGCCCTAAGGACATGATGATTAGCTTTCCATAGGGATAAAAGTGATGCACTATAAATTTGTAACCTAGGCAACTTAACTTCTAGGCAGCTTTTCTCCTACCAATTTTGGCTCATATGATGCGTGATGGAGTAACTGCCAGTCGTTTTAAAGAGTTGCAGGAACCAGAGTGTATTATTGTAGCACCAACTCGAGAATTGGTCAACCAGATTTATTTGGAAGCCAGAAAATTTTCTTTTGGGTAAGTACATCAGAATGCTACTCACAAAATAGCTTTTTCTTTAGAGACTTTCTTCCCTTCACTTTTGGGAAGTACTTAGTAATAATGCACTCTTGTAATTTTTAGCATTACTTAAAATTATTTTTTCATTATCCTGTTTATGGAATTCTTTTTATCTTTAAAAAGAAATAGGCTTATTAAAAATTAGGTTAATAGGTTGGACTTGGTGGCTCATGTCTATAATTACCCAGTGCTTTGTGAGGCCCAGGCAGGAGAACTGCTTGAGGCCAGGAGTTTGAGACCAGCCAGGGTAACATGGTGATACCACGTCTCTACAAAAAATAAAGTAACTGTTTAGCACGTGGTGGTGCACACCTGTTGTCCTAGGAGGTTGAGGCAGGATTGCTTGAGTCCAGGAGTTTGAGGCTGCAGTAAGCTGTGATTGCAACACCACACTCAGGGAGAGACCCTGTCTCTAAAAAAGTAAAATTTTAATTTAAAAAACAGTAATACTGGAAGTGGAAAATAGTGAACACACTGGTGTTATTTCTTGGTAGTTTTTAGTGTATATTTAAAAAGGAACTTGGGGTATTCTAATAATTTTATATTCTTTTACATATAACTTTATAATACAGAAAATGCTTATTGCATAATAAGACCTGATTTGTAATGGCTTTAAAATTGCCCATGTGGATACATTTTATTTCTCTATTCTGAGGCATTTAGATTCTTTCTAACATGGGGCTATTGTAAACAAAATTGCAGCATACATCTTGCTACATAGTTTTTCTGTTTTGGCTGGATATGGTGGCTCACACCTGTAATCCTAGCATTTTGGGTGGCCAAGATAGAGAGTTTGAGACCAGCCTGGGAAACATGGCAAAAACCCATCTCTACAAAAAAAAAAAAAAAAAAAAAAAAAAAACAAAAATTAGCCAGGTGTGGTGGTGCACCCCTGTAGTCCCAGCTACTCAGGAGCCTGAGAGATGGGAGGATTACCTGAGCCTGGTAGGTCAAGGCTGCAGTGAGCTGTGATTGTGCCACTGCACTCCAGCCTAGGTGAGAGTGAGACCCTGACTCAAAAAAAATCTTGTTTTAAGTATTTTTTTTAGATTAGGGTTTTACAAATTTTAATGTTAAAGAGCAGGAACTTATTTTGAAGTTTGCAATTAATGTATATTTGTGCCTGCAGTGTATCAGAAGTCCAATTTCAATATACCCTTTGCCAACATTTAGTTATTGCTGATTAACAAATTGCCATAAAAGATAGTTGCTTACAATAATAAACATTTACTGTCTCACCATTTTGGGGGCTTAGGAATTGGGGAACAGCTTTGCTTAGTTGGGTCCTTCTGAGTTAAGAGTCTTTTATGAGATTGTAGACAAGACGTCAGCCAGGATTGCAGTCATCTGAAGGCTTCACTGTGTCTTCCCATAGGGATGCATAATTATCCATTAAATGGCACTGCCTACCCTAGATTGAGTGATCAGTAAGAACAAAGAGGAGGCTGTAATAGCTTTTATGAAATAATCCCAAAAGTCACACATTGTCATTCTGCCGCATTCTCTTTGTAAGAAGCAAGTCATTAATTTTGACCCCACTCAGGAGTGGCTATTATAATTTATTGGAACTAGTGCAAAATTGGAACAAGTACAGGGTCCTTGTTGTACAATTATTACCAATTTCAAGGCAGCAACAGCAGAGCATTAAATGAAGCACAGGGTTCTTCTGAACTTGGGATCCTGTGTGACTGGGAAGGTTGAACAATCATGTGGCCAGCCTTGCCCACACTGAAGGGGGAAGGTAGAATTCATATTTGAAGGAAGGAATATGTCGAAGAATTTGTATATGTATGTTAAAACCGCCACAAGTGATTTCAACTTTTTCCATGCTTGTTAAAATCACTTTAATATCAAACCTGATTTTTTGGTAAAACGTGGATTGTGTATTTCAGTGTTTATATCTTGCTGATCCTTATGTACTGTATTGCTTTCAGTCTTTTAAATAAAGTAAAAGATCTCAGAACTTATCTGTATAACCAGACACCACCTGTTCCCCCAAAACTAATGAAATTTTTTTAGAAAATCAAGTAAAAGATCACTTTTTTTTTTTTTAAATTTAAGATGGAGACTCGCTGTGTTGCCCAGGCAAGAGTACAGTGGTAGGATCTCGGTCACTGCAACCTCTGCCTCTTGGGTTCAAGTGATTCTCCTGCCTCAGCCACCAAAGTAGCTGATATTACAGGCACATGCTACCACGCCTGGCCAATTTTTTATATTTTTAGTAGAGACAGGATTTCACCATGTTGACCAGGATGGTCTAACTCCTGACCTCAGGTGATCCACCTGCCTTGGCCGCCCCAAAGTACTGGTGGTATTACAGGCATGAGCCACCATGCCTGGCCAGAATTTAATATTTTTTAGATAGCTGAATGTGTTTTCTTTCTTTTTGGGTTTTGTTTTATATCTTGTTAGAAACAGATGCCTAGTTTTTTAAGTTTGAGTTTTGTTTTATATCTTGTTAGAAACAGATGCCTAGTTTTTTAAGTAACTAGAAAATGACATTTAGTTTTCTTCTTAATAGGACTTGTGTAAGAGCTGTTGTTATATATGGGGGAACCCAGCTGGGGCATTCAATTCGACAAATAGTACAAGGCTGTAATATATTATGTGCTACTCCTGGAAGACTGATGGATATCATAGGCAAAGAAAAGGTATGCCTTATAGGAATAACAAAGTTGTGAGATTGATAATTTTTTTTGATACGGGAAAAGGAAAGAATGAGGTAAAGACAGATGTATTTATTAGAACACCATTTATGTGTTAGCCTCCATCACATTCTTTGAATTCGTTCTTATATAATTCTCAAGATAATCTCCACAGGAATAGTGTTTTCTATTTTATACTTGGGAAAACAAACTCAATTAGATTATGTAATTTATTTTAAAAATCTCTCAGTTAGCTCTAGTAAGTATAGAGCTAATGTTAGAATCTGGGTCTGATTCCAGAATTACATATTCTGTATCCCACTACGCTGGGGTAAAAATGCAGTTAATAACTTTTTATCTGATTTCATACATGTCTTGGGGAAATAGTTTTCTCCTGTAAGAAACCCATTGTGACATCAATAATTCTATCTCCTGTGTCAGCATGGGAGTGATATCAACCAGGATTGTTAATTTTCTAAATCTAAAAAGATTTTAGGGCCATGTACTTATTTAAAAATTCATATACTATATTTTTACATCTCAAAATCAGTACTTTCAGTTCACCTTAATCAACCAGATTTGCTTTTTATTTTATTTTTGAGATGGAGTTTTGCTCTTGTCACCCAGGGTGGAGTGCAATGGCGTGATCTCGGCTCACTGCAATCTCTGCCTCCTGGGTTCAAGCAATTCTTCTGCCTCAGCTTCCTGAGTAGCTGGGATTACAGGCATACGCTCCCGGCTACTTTTTAAAAATATTTTTAGTAGAGATGGGGTTTCTCCATGTTGGCCAGGCTGATCTCAAACTCCTGACCCTCAGGTGATCCGTCTGCCTCAACCTCCCAAAGTGCTGGGATTACAGGTGTGAGCCACCTTGCCCAGCCCAGATTTGCTTCTTAAAAACTTTTCAAAGGGTCCTTCTGAGTTGAGCCTCTTTCATCTCTCTGGACTACTAAAAAAAAAAAAGTTATTTCTGCATAAATGCACCTTTCTTAGTATACTTTAAAAAATGACCCAGAGATACATACCTTACTTTCTTGCTAAACATCTTCATAGTGATACCAAATCCACTTTGCAAGTGTGTTCTTCTATTTATAGTAATAGATGTTCATGCAAAGGTAAGAGAAGGTTCCTGATTATTCTGAGTGATTAGAGAATGGAGAATTTACTAAGGATTTGAAAAGGTTAGAAAAAATTTTACCAGTTAGAAAATATTAGAATCTGTCATGCCATTAGGATATTTTCTTACATTAGAGTCTAACTTGATCAAATAATATAATCTAGATCTGTACTGTCCAACACAGTAACCACTAGTTATGTGTAGCAATTTTAAAGAATGATAAAATTAAAAATTCAGTTCCACAGTCACAGTAGCCACATTTCAAATGTGTAATAGCTAGCTACCTTTGGCTAGTGACTGACATGTTAAACAGTGCAGATAATAGAACTTTTAAGTAATTGCAGAAAGTTTTATTGCACAGTGTTGATCTAGATTTTTGGTTTATTTTAGACTTAATTTTAAAAATGCTTTATAACAAAATTGAACTGAAATATACAGTAATATCTAAGCATAACAATTCTCATTTTATACACTGATTTCTAGTCTTTGTTCTTAACAGTATTTTAACAGTTGGAATTGTGGAGAGTAGTTTAATATAAACTAATATGAATTTTCTGTTTTATCTTTGAAAATATCCTTCAAGATTGGTCTCAAACAGATCAAATATTTGGTTTTGGATGAAGCTGATCGCATGTTGGATATGGGGTTTGGACCAGAAATGAAGAAGTTAATTTCTTGCCCAGGAATGCCATCAAAGGAACAGCGCCAAACCCTTATGTTCAGTGCAACTTTTCCAGAGGAAATTCAGAGGTTAAGTTTTTTTCTTAAAAATAATTTGGTTATATACATACTTTTATCAAAGTGGAAGCAATGTGAATATTCTATTTTTAGAGATTTGTCTTTAATATTTTCATATAGGTAGTTTAAAAAAAAGATGTATTTCTAAAATGTTTACCACATTTTCCATTGTTTCCTACCTTTATTCCTGGCTTTGAATTAACATCACATCTTTTTTAAAAAGAGAGTGAGAGAGAGAGAGAGAGAGAGAGAGAGAGAGAGAGTGTGTGTGTGTGTGTGTGTGTGTGTGTGTGTGTGGTAGCATAGAACCCAGCTGGGGTTTAATAAGTGCTTACTAAATGAAGTTGTTTTTATTGTTGTGCCATCTTTTCGAACCTAAATGTATAGAATTTGGGAAAACTGGGCCTTTGGTAGAAAATTCATATACCAATTATTGGCAGATATTTGAGGATCGTGTTATATACCATGTGGTCTAGTGAATTCAGAGATTAAGGTAACACATCCCTAGTGGAATGGTGACTCTTTCCTGCCAGCCCCTTGTCTCAAGGATCCAGAAGTACCCAGGCAACAGCAGAAGCTTATACAGATGGTCCAGTGGTTCAACGTAGAATTTTAAGGTTTTTCAACTTTATGATGGTTTATCATAGGTATTAATTGCGTTTTTGACTTAAGATATTTTGGACTTATAATAGGTTTATTGGGATGTAACCCTGTTGTAAGTTGGGGACCATCTGTAATTCAGCAGGACTCTTGCTGTTTTCTCTAGTAGAACTGTTTTCTTTTTTGGAAACCAAGACCTCAAAACCTGTAGAACATAAAGTTGGAAGACAGGAAGGGCTGGGAAGTGTAGATTTCCCAAGTGGGTCATTGGAAGTGATGCTAGGTGGGCCAGTATTGTTTGCTCTCCTGGATTTACAGAGTCATGTACCATATATAGATCTTTGATTTGAAAAATTACTGTGTCGTGTTAGATTGATGCCCATCTTGTTTTTTTTTTTTTTTTTGAGATGGAGTTTTGCTCTTGTTACCCAGGCTGGAGTGCAATGGCGCAATCTCAGCTCACCGCAACCTCTGCCTCCTGGGTTCAGGCAATTCTCCTGCCTTCAGCCTCCTGAGTAGCTGGGATTACAGACATGTGCCACCATGCCCAGCTAATTTTTTGTATTTTTAGTAGAGACGGGGTTTCACCATGTTGACCAGGATGGTCTCGATCTCTTGACCTTCTGATCCACCTGCCTCGGCCTCCCAAAGTGCTGGGATTACAGGCGTGAGCCACCGTGCCTGGCGATGCCCTATCTTCTTAAAGAGTTGCCTCAAAACTGGCCCTTGAACTGTTCTTTCTGCAGACTGTTCCAAAGTTCTCTCAGGTTGGCAGCTTCTGAGTGGTACAGTATATATTACTTGTGAATTCTATGGTAATGGGCCTATCCCAACACCTCTTTTGCCTTAAAGTTGGTCTCCTGGTTTGATAGAACGTTATATGGGATCTTGTGCTAGTATATCAAATGTTCCACAAGCCCTTGAATAGTGGTGCTGGCTATTGATTTAATTTTATATGATAAATCTTTGTGTAAAGTTAGCAAGAGTTCTTTATTGGGGAAAAATATAACTCATAAGACAGCACTAGGTCAATTTGCAGGATAATTTTCTTTCTTAGTGGTACATAAAACAATTATTTCTCAACAATTGAATAGTATCTTCACTTGGAGATGCAGTATTGGCATTCCCACCATCTGCTTTGGTAACTGTCTAATTAGCAGCCATGTTTGTATGTGATCTAAAGCAAGACTTCTCAGTTGCATGCTGATAGTGAGTTAACTGTGTGTCAAGATATTGATAACCTTTGGGACAGGCAAACCCATCTTGATTCCACTATGTCACTGGGCGTTTTGTCTCATCTCACTTGTTTTGCCCAATTGTGCTATACAAATACTACTTTCTGTGTATGTCATGACGGAGCACTGACCTAAGATCTGGTTTATTTGAAGTAGAGTAATTTAACAGGTAATATTTTCAGAAAACAACTAATAATAGTATTCATAAAAGCAATGAGTGAAGAATAGAATTTGTGCCTGAGGCTTACATTTCAGTTTTTACTAAAAAATAATTCCTGCTTATTGCAATTTATTTCTTTTAGTTCATGCTTTTTATTAGGGTTATACACATATTTTATATAGGTTTACATGGATAGCAAATCCACTTGAAATTACAGTATCCATACTTTGACAAACTTTTCACTAGTAGTTACATATATTGTGAAAGTGTTATCTTTTATGCTGGTCTTTCAAAATATTACTGGGGTGATACAAGTAACCAACCATCTTATTATAGCTGTTATTATCTGCTGTCTGGTTAATATTGAGATAACACCTGCGTGAATTCAGTGGATATTACAAATACTAATGAAGAGGAGGATAAGTTAAAGAATAATCTTTCGTTTTTCAAGGTTGGCTGCAGAGTTTTTAAAGTCGAATTATTTGTTTGTTGCTGTTGGACAAGTGGGTGGAGCATGTAGAGATGTTCAGCAGACCGTTCTCCAAGTCGGCCAGTTCTCAAAAAGAGAAAAACTTGTTGAAATTCTACGAAACATAGGTATCTTACATTGATACTCTTTTTCGTCATGATTTCAACTTTTTTTTAATGAATAAATTTTTTAAATTACTAAAGAATTATAATGTTTGTTTTAATTGTTCTCTTTTAATGTTTAATAAGTTTAATTGTTCTTTCTCTGAAGCTGTTTTATAAGAAATTTTATGATTCAGTTTTCTGTGTAAATTATATAAAAATATGGTCCTTTCTCCTCCATGAAGTTTGAAAATAGTAAGGATTTGAGACTTTATTCCAGCAGAAGTATATCTGTTTTTTTGTTTTAGAAAACTAGAAAGGCTTTGTAGTAACACATATTTATATCACATTATTACTCCATCAAAAGCAGATTGTTTTTGTTTGTGGTTCCTAGTTCTTGCTTCCTAAGGCTTCCCAAGTTCATAGATTCAAATAATTTTAGAGCTAAAAGGGACTTAATATCTAGTTCTGTTCCTTCACAATATCTGTGGGAAATCTTTTTCTTCTCTACCCCGCCCCAATCAATTTTTATTTTTATTTTATTATTTTTTTAAAGGCAAAGTCTCACTTTGTTGCCTGGCTTGAAATATAATTGTGTAGTTATAGCTCACTGCAGCCTCAAACTCCTGGCCTCAAGCAATCCTCCTAACTCAGCTTTCCAAGTAGCTAGGACTATAGGAATGCGCCACCATGCCTGGCTGGCTGGCTGGCTTGCTCATATATGTATGTATGTACGTATGTATGTAGAGATAGGTTTCTCACTACTAACCATGCTGGTCTTGAACTGTTGGCCTCAGTCCTCCATCTTGTCCTCCCAAAGTGCTGAGGTTACAGCCATGAGCCACCATACTCACCCCAATTTTTATTTTTTTTATTTTTAATTTTTTTTTTTTTGAGACAGGGCCTTGCTTTATCACTAAGGCCGAAGTGCAGTAGCATGACCACGGATCACTCAGCCTCAACCTCCCAGGTCCAAGCAATCCTCCCATGTAAGTCTCTTGAGTAGCTGGCACCATAGGTGTACCACTATGCCCAGCTAATTTTTTAGGTTTTATAGAGACGGGGTTTTCACCATGTTGCCCAGGCTGGTCTTGAACTCCTGGGCTCAAGTAATCTACCACCTTGGCCTCCCAAAGTGCTGGGATTACAGGTGTAAGCTGCCATGCCTGGCCCAATTTTTATTTTTGAAGTCATGTTTTTGTTAATTTGGTTGTTTAAGATAGCCTTATTTTGAGACTGGAAACAAAAATTTTAAATACCTTCATTTTAATACCTTCTTATTACCTCATAGTCTAGGTCTACTTATATGTTACACTTTCCCCATCTACACCCTCCATTTTAGTGCTTCTGTTTCAGCTTGAATGTCAGTGTTGAGACGGAGGAATGTGAAGACGGTACATCAGCTAATTTCCAATAATAAGCAAAAAGGAAAAAATGGAAAGGTGACTTAAAAAGTACTTACAGGCTTCTGGTCTTTAGTTTGTGCTGAGTTTTATGAGAATGTTTAAAACCAAATACTTATCTTGAGTTTGAGAAATTTTATTAGTTGGCTTCATCAAATGTTTCTTAATGTACACTGTCAGCATATAAAGATAAAATAGCTATGGGCCACATACTGTTCTGATTATCGTACATGTGTTAGCTCATTTAATTCCCAAAACAACCTTATGAAGTAGATTTTGTCATGATCCCCGTTTTAGGGATATAGAAACAAATATAGGGAGGTCAGATAACTTGCCCACTATAAATTGAAGCTGCTAATGCAGAAGAAAGGAGCACTATATGGTTTTGCTGAAGTTAGAACATATTTCTAATATAGTCACCTTTAGATTTTATTTTTATTTTTATTTTTTTGAGATTGAATCTCACTCTGTCTCCAGGACTAGAGTGCAGTGCTGTCATGGCAGCTCACTGCAACCTTCGCCTCCCGGGTTCAAGCAATTCTCCTGCCTCAGCGTCCCGAGTAGCTGGTATTACAAGTGCCTGCCACTATGCCCAGCTAATTTTTTGTATGTTTAGTAGAGACGGGGTCTTACCATGTTGGCCAGGCTGGTCTTGATCTCCTGACCTCGTGATTTGCCCACCTCAGCTTCCCGAAGTGCCAGGATTATAGGCATGAGATACCACGCCTGGCCAAGATTTTTTTCATATATGAGCTTATGGGATAAAGTTTATTTTGCAAATAATCCAAAAGGAGAGAGTTTTTCAGAAGTGCTGGTTTGCCCTTGGGAAAAGGCCAGTGTATTATATGTGATCACTATTGATATAATTTTGTATTATTTAAGCTGCCAAATATTTTTTTTTTGGTTTAGGGTTCATAGTTGGTATCTTTTTAACTTTTCATGTAATATCCATCCAGTATATCCTCAAATTATACAAATTTTTGTTCATATAATTTATCTCCTTTTCTACTCTTTCACTTAATAATGCTATTTTTTTCCTTTTCCTATATACATTATTTGGCTATAGTAATGTATTTCCTTTAAATACATTACTATAGCCAAACTGCCTTTTTTCATAATTTTAAGTCAACAGGGATTAAAAAATTTATTGACCTTTAATTACCAAAAGAACCAGTAAGATGTTACAGCTAGTCAAAAAGATAATTCAAAGAATATACGTATGTTTAGGCTAAGCTTGTCCAACCCACAGGCCACATGGAGGCCAGGATAGCTTTGAATGTGGTGCAATGTAAATTTGTAACCTTTCTTAAAACATGATGAGATTTTTTTTTTTTGCGATTAGAAAATTTTTTTTTTTAGCTCATCAACTGTTGGGAGTGTTAGTGTATTTTATGTGTGGCCCAAGACAATTCTCCTTCTAATGTGGCCTAGGGAAGCCAAAGATTTGACACTTCTGGTTTAGGCGATTAGGAATGCTAAAATTAATTTACAGATCTAAAACTGGTCATTATTCAAATGCAATAATCAATTACATTTCAGGGGAAAACTATTTGCATTTTTGTTGAGAATCATTGGCACTGCTATCAGTTGCAACAGTTATGAAAAAGACTATACAAGGCACAAAGAGTGTGCTTAGACAGTAATCTTTTTTGCTTACTTCAAATTCTTCTATAATTTTTTCTGATAGCCTATATCTACCTCATGACCATAATAATCTCAGGGATTAGTCCTGATCACAAGAAGTTTGGTCTTAAGTTTGCCTTGCTTATTTGTATGGGTACAGCAAGATTGTTCATTAGCAATATAGGCCTCCTTCAGTTTGTTTTGCAAATCTAGAGCTGTACAGTATTGACAGTTACTGAAGTCACAAAAATAACTTTTGTCTAGAAGTTTTCACAAGGAATGTCAGATTGAACTTTAAGAATACTTTATTATTTTCTATCTAAGGGATAGGAAACTAAGTCTCAGAAATTGTCTCTACTAGATTTCACCTGCAATGCCTATAAATTGGAATGAATCTCACTCTACTAAAGGTCCCCTAGATTTCCTGTGGTTCCTGTCCTGTCAGGAAGTGGGTGGCCAGCCTTAAAATCTCCCAGACTGGGCCATGTAAGCCAAGCACCAGACCTCCTTATAAGCTGGCCTTCATAGGCATTGGTTCCATAAAGAAAGCCAACCATTGTTCCTTAAAAACAGTATCTGGTCCTACCTATCATGCCATTTGCAAATATGAAATCCAGGTGAGATCTTAGTTGCACAGTTAACTTGTCCACTTACATCTTGGTAAAAGGAGGCAGACAGATTCTTATTTAACTGCTGAAGATAACTACACTACCATGAAAAGTAAGGAAACTTAGGTAAGAAATCTGAATTTGGGTTGGGATGGGGTGTCAGTGAGATGTGAGATTAAATATGATTTTAGACTATTTCATTTTAGTTTACAAAGGCAGAGTCAACAAAATGTGTAGATTACAGCTAGCTTAAGAGGAAAAAATGCCTCTTCATGTATCCAGAAAATAGAATATTAAAATAACAATATTGCAAACAACCACAGAGATTTTCTCCATCAGCTCATTCAGCCCTTATGTAATTCTTATTTCATTGTATGTTAGGGATCTGCTTGCATGACTCTGTTGCTAAAAGGACTAGTCCTAGAAATCTCCCTCAGTCCAGTGATACAGTCTAAAAGTTGTCAGAGCAGTTAACTTTAGAACCTTCTACCCAAGACTCTATTCTCTGAAGTATTAATATTTCTTCACAAGGCTTGGAGTCTGACCTTAAGGACACAGACTCTGATCTATAGTTTACAGCACAGCCTTTGGCAAGCATCTAAATAAAACAAAAGCTGTCTGAAGATGACATATTTAATGACCATGGTAAATTAGTTACTGGTAATTGGTAAATACTGAGGGTCTGAGGAGGGTTCATAAGAAGAATAATGCTACTGGTAATTTTTTTTCTGTGACATGCAAAATAAAGATAATAAAGCCATTCAAAAAATATTAGGCAAAAAATCTGAGTAAGCCTATTTTCAAAGAAGTAACCTGATTTATGAAAATGGGCAGACATAATTTTCCGTATCAAGAGTATAAAGTAAATAGATTTAGCAGTATAATTATGAAAATTATTTTTACCTTGGAGATCTCTTTGGAGGATCTTGGAGACTCTGGGAAGGATTTACTTTGTCATAAAGTGTCAGTTTGTTCCAGAGCGTCGAAAAAGCCCAATGAAAGACAAAACAGGAACTGAGTTCAACTGTAGATGTAGAATAGGATCCAGACATTTATATTTTTAGAAAATGCCTTACATAAGTCTGGCATACATCCCTAGTGAAGAACCACAGGAGAAGATGCTAGATTCTAGTTAGGAAAGAAGTAAGGTTGTAGATGTTTTAAAAAGTGGATTTATGACTGGCAGCACTATACTGTTGCATCAGGCAGCGTACCTTGAGGACTTTGATAAATATAGGGCAACTCTAAAGAATTACTTTATAGAGTTTTGAACAATGTTTCTCCTGAGGGTAAAAACATACTATGGAAGGTGAGGGAATTTACAAATCATCAGGGACTCCCAAAAAATATACATTAAAAAAAAATACAGGTCAAGTATCCCTTATCCAAAATGCTTGAGAGGAGAAGTATTTCAAATTTTTATTAACTTTTGAAATATCTGCAGTATGTTTATCAGTTGATCATCTCTAATCCAAAATGCTGAAATACTCCAGTGAGCATTTCCTTTGAGCATCATGTCACTACCCAAAAAGTTTGGGATTTTGGATTTTCGAATTAGGAATACTTAACCTCTATTAACATTTTACCTGTTCTCTTTAATCCTGGAAAAGTGTAGTCTTTTCTGTTTTGATAACTCTTGTTGTACAGCTCTTAAGTAGTAATACATAAAAAAAGCATAATCATTTCTAGACTCTTTTATAAGGTGAAATAATAAACATTTGTACTTTTCTGGGCCTCTCTGACAAATCTCAGAAGTTTTCTACATAGATATCTTCTTCTAAATTTACGATTTGAGCTTAAAAAGACAATAGGAGTTGTCAGAGGAGAGTTGAATATTTGATTAGTGTAGGCTTCATGGGTATCAGATAAACTATTTGGTTATCAGTTTAATTGAAGTGACAATAAAACATTTAGAGGTAAAGATAGAAATTAACATGGTTGTAAAGAACCACAGCTCTTTCATAAATAGGGAACCTTTTCTCTTTAGTCATTTTTTTTTCCTCCTTTAGTCTTTTTTCAAAAAATCAGACAAGATAAAGCCAACAGAATCTCAGCTACTTAGGCTGGTTACAAGGAAGGCAAAGAATAACTTTTCATCCAGTGTAATGGCTCTGAGGAAAAAAAAAAACCTCTTCATATTGTAAGTGAAAGCATTAAACAGCAAATTGAGAAAGTAATTCCATCCAAATTGAGTGACCTTTGCTAAAAATTAACACCTTTTATAGCTTATTTTGACCCAAGTGTTATAAATCAAAGATAAAATTCAGTTTCCAAGTTTTATCTTTCATTGTACTTTTTCAACGTTCTGGAACAAACTGACATTTTAGGACAAAATGTGTCTCTCCCAGTTTCTCTAAGACTGTCTAATGGGATCTGTGAGGTAAAAACAATTTCCATAATTATACTAAGAATTATTTATTTTAATATGCAAATATTGTTCAGATAAGTAAAGATTATCTTGGTGTTAATTTTTGATATGGTAAATATCACAACACACAAGAATAACTCTAGGATTGTTAATGTTTTATGAGTTTAAAGGTGGTACAGACCAAAATGTTTGAAAGCCACCAAACTACTTTCTTTCCTTGAAAAACAAAAGCAATTACACTTTGTATTTCTGTCACTATTATTCCTAGCATAGTTGTTTAACATATGATTAACCACTTATGTTAATTTTATCTTTTTATCATAGTAACTTCTATTTCATAAAGGAAACTGGGAGTGGGGAGATGGGAAACTGAGAGATGTCATACATAAGCATTGTTTGCTGTTTTAAGTTGCCTGAAGATTTTGGAAATTATCTTCAAGATGATATTTTTAAAAACATTAATACTATTGAATAAATGACCAAATTTAGTTGACCACAGGTTTTCATTTTCATACTCCTAAATATCATGGAGGAATAATACTAGCTTGTTTGGCTGGTAAACTGTACATTAGGAAAAACAAACCCAAGTAGAATAAGTGTTTATGTTAAATTTAACACTGATATTAAGGAAAAAAAGGTTTTTGTAAACCAAAGGTATGAGTCTCATTTACCAAAGATTTCACTTAATTAGGTCAACTTGGATTCTTAAAATGTTTCTGATTAAGTCTTGTAAGTTTTTTCAAAAGTTTAATACAGTTTAAAGTATATTTTTTAAAAGTTTAACATAGCCTAAAGTATTACAAGTTCAATTTCTTTATTTTCTGAGATTTTAGGAATATTTACCTCTATAACATTTCTTTCATTCATCTCTATAAGCAAATTTGAATAGAGCTCCTTTAAGAGACTTTGTAATTTAATGTGTTAATGCTTCTTTTAGGATGTTAACATACTGATTACACATAATAAAGCCCTTTCTGAATTGCAGACACACAGATAACTTATAGCCTCAGTACTGCCACTTCAGCCACAGGTCAAGAGTGAACACAGAAATACAAAAAATTATGATCAAGTAACTAAAGCTAGAATTCTTTAGATTCTTAGTTGATTTTGGCTCACAGGGGGCAAATAGAGAATTAGACTAACAAAATTGATTTCCCCATCATTTCTCACCCAACAGATCATTAGTCTTACCATAAAACTAAATTTGCAGTCATTGCCACCACCAGTAGGAAACAGCTTGTCTGACCTAGAACAAATACAAAATTAGTACAGAAAAAACTGAGAAATAGAGTCAGCAGAGTTAAATTTTTATTGCTGCTTGCAGTTCACACTGGGAAGCAAAGACAAGACAAGACCAGGGCTTGAGGTGCTCAGCAGTGCTAGGTACCTAGGCTCTGTCAGATCAATCAATTTTAGCCTTGGGCATCTTGTTGGATGGCTTCTGGAACTGCTGAAACATAATTTTTATTAAACATAAAATCATCACTCTGAAATAAATATAAAATGACCATGATTCAAAGATTTAACTCATTATGGGAACCAGTTACCATTTTGATTTTGCTACTTGGTCATCTAATAGATATCTGAGACTTAAATATCATCTCTAAATGATTTTTTTCTTGTAGTCTTCCTATATCAGTTAATGTTAGTTCCATTCTTCCAGTTGCTCCAAGTCTTGGAGTCATTCTTAATTTCTTTCTCAAACTGTACATCTCGTCTGTTAGTAAAATCGTCTTGGTTCTACCATCAAAATATATGTAGAATCCTTTAAATGCTCGGTTAAAGTTTAGATCATGTCACTTCTCTGCTGAAAACCTCATGTTTTCCCTTCTCAGAGTAAAAGTGTTCTTTCAGTAGCATTCAAGGCCCTATATGATACTGCTTCTATTACCTCTCTGACTTTATCTCCTACTGCTCTCCCTACTCCAGGCATACTTGGCTCATTACTGTTCCTCATATGTATCAGGTAGACTTCTGCCTCATGGCCTTTTGTGTTGCCTCTGCTCAAGATGTAGAGGCCACACTGGGATCTCTTTTCTGTTTGATGAGCATAAGAACACTCATTTCTCAGAGCCTTACACTTACCTTTTCCTCTCCCTTATAAGGTTCTTTTCCTAGATACCTGCACAGTTCACTATATTCATATCTTTACTAAGATACTATCTAATTGTAGTATCTGAAGTAGGCCTGTCTAATAAGCCTATTTAAAGTAATCATCTCTGGACCCTTTATCTTGCTGATTTTTTCCTTTTTAGGACAGATGCATAATATTTGTTTGCCTCCCCATAGTGAGAGCAGGGCTTTTATTTCTATGTTTCCAGCAGAAAGAGTGAGAAGCATCTAGTAGGCACTAAATATAAGCTGACAGAGAAATGGGGAGAGCAATTATGATTTTTATATCCTTTAAAGTTATAAATGATCTTTCTTCTCTTAACATTTTATAGGAAAATTCCCTGTGGGAAAATCTCCTGCCCATGGTTGAATTTCTACCAGATAAATATTTTAAGGAGTAAATATTCCTTAACACCCTGGGATAAGATTGTCACTTAATTTTTTAATATGTAAAATATTTTGGGAATGTAAGGATTTGAATTAGAGATAATGTTTGGAACACTGATTATATAGAGTTAAGCAGCCCTGGGTCAGGTGCCACTATTATAAACCTCAGAAAATCAAGCATGAATGAAAGATTGGATTATCTTGAGAGGTAGACAGCAAAAGACATTTATAGAGAGAGGGAAATGGAGGGAAGGAAAGTACTGAGACAATTTTATACTACTAAGGGTTGGCAGGCAGATATGATTTACCTTTCCCTAAGGTTCTACTTCTTGTGTTGGCCTGGGAGGAAGAAGGGCAAACTAATTTTTTAAATCCCTAAACTAGGGAAACAGTCCTTGTATCTTTGGCATCCATTCAGTAATTAGAGTCTCTTTCGTAAACCCGGCCTGACTGTGGGTGCTGGTAATAAATACAGTGGATGGCTGGGCACGGTGGCTCACTCCTATGATCCTAGCACTTTCGGAGGCCGAAGTGGGTGGATCACTTGAGGTCAGGAGTTCAAGACCAGCCTGGCCAATATGGTGAAACTCCATCTCTATTAAATATACAAAAAATTAGTCTGGGTGCAGTGGCTCACACCTCTAATCCCAGAACTTTGGGAGGCCTAGGTGAGTGGATCACCTGAGCTCAGGAGTTCAAGACCAACCTGACCAACATGGAGAAACCCCGTTTCTACTAAAAATACAAAATTAGCCAGGCATGGTGGTGCATGCCTATAATCCCAGCTTCTTGGGAGGCTGAGGCAGGAGAACCACTTGAACCTGGGAGGCAGAAGTTATGGTCAGCCGAGATCACGCCATTGCACTCCAGCCTGGGCAACAACAGCGAAACTCCATCTAAAATAATAATAATAAATAAATAAATACAATGGTGGACAAAGTTTCCTGTTCAAGCACTGCCTCCTACCCCTGCTTTATTTTTCATTTTTGAAGTTTGAATATTAATAGTTTTGTTATCTTGCAGGTGATGAAAGAACTATGGTCTTTGTTGAAACTAAGAAAAAAGCAGATTTTATTGCAACTTTTCTTTGTCAAGAAAAAATATCAACTACAAGTATTCATGGGTGAGTAGATAAATATGATTTCCTATTAGGGGAATAACTTCTAATTGGTATTTAAGAAATATCAGTTTATATAACTAATATGATATAATCCTGGAATTGGGATTCAGAATTCTCTCAGATATAAATTATTATTCTCCTTTATGTGAGATAAAGGGTAATACCCAGGAGTACTAAACTATTATTTTTCATCTTCATTCTTAGTTTTTATAACTAAGTAGTTGTGGTGGGTAAGATAAATGTCTGCCTTAGATAGCCTCAACATAAGGAGTAGAAACTTCTCAAGAGATCTCACTTAAGGATCTCTGGCCCCTGATCAAATTTTCCCTTTGCTAAATATAATCTTTCTTATGCCTTTTAAAAATTGGAGTGCTTTAAAATGTCATTAATACAGTTTTATTGACACTTTATTAGTGGGTCCTAAAATATTAATCATGTATATAGTGTTCTGAAATTATACTTTAAAAAATATTTTTTAAGCAAGCATTCTAATCAAGTAGTTGTATATTTTATGTGAATACTATAAAGCATAGAGAATATAATAGGATTTATTTTTGTCAGAGTTGAGTTTGTATTCTGGCTCAACATATTAGCTGTTACTTTACCTCATCTGCAAATGGGGATAATTTTTGCAACTCAAAGTATTACTGTAAGAATTAAATAAAATGGTAACTTGGAAGGAATTAGTATAGTACCTGTTATGTAAGAAGTCGTGGACATTAATGTTAAATGCTATTTTTTTTCTTTTTCTTTTTTTTTTTGAGACTGAGTCTTGCCCTGTCTCCCAGGCTGGAGTGCAATGGCGTGATCTCAGCTCACTGCAACCTCCGCCTCCTGGGTTCAAACGATTCTCCTGCCTCAGCCTCCCGAGTTGCTGGGATTACAGGCACGCGTCACCACGCCTGGCTGAATTTTTGTCTCTTTAGTAGTGACTGGGTTTCACCATGTTGGCCAGTCTGGTCTGAAAACTCCTGACTTCAGGTGATCCGCCCACCTCAGCCTCCCAAAGTGATGGGATTACAGGCATGAGTCACCGCACCCAGCCAAATGCTATTCTTACAATTATTAAAAAGAAATTTGTATGTTGAACTTTAACGATTTACTTTAATGATTTTAAGAGTTGTCTTAATACATAGTTTCTTTTCTTTCAAGTGATCGGGAACAGAGAGAGCGGGAGCAAGCTCTTGGAGATTTTCGCAGCGGAAAGTGCCCAGTTCTTGTTGCTACTTCAGTAGCTGCCAGAGGGCTAGATATTGAAAATGTACAGCATGTTATCAATTTTGATCTTCCTTCTACCATTGATGAGTACGTTCATCGAATTGGGCGTACTGGTCGTTGTGGGAATACTGGCAGAGCAATTTCCTTTTTTGATCCTGAATCGGATAACCATTTAGCACAGCCTCTAGTAAAAGTATTATCAGATGTAAGTTAAACTTTTAAAACGGAACGGATAGTTTTCTTACTTTGTTGTTGAAAGTAGACATTTTATGCATATGTATATAACAAGTAAACTTTTCCAATCTTTAAGACTTTACATTGCATATGAAGCCTTTTTTTGTTTTTTTTTTTTTTTAAGGCTCAACAGGATGTTCCTGCATGGCTGGAAGAAATTGCCTTTAGTACATACATTCCTGGCTTCAGTGGTAGTACAAGAGGAAGCGTGTTTGCATCAGTTGATACTAGAAAGGTGAGTAGAAAGGAAAAATTCAGAACTTGGATTTCAGTTACTCTTTGTAAATGTTGTGCTTAGTATTATTAAGTAACTATAACAATCAGGCCGTTGTTTTCATGCCTAGAAGGCAGCTACTTTATTATTTCATTAACATTTTATGTATATACATATTTTTGGTTTTAAAGGTCAGGAATTAACTTTGAGATTTATACACAAACAGTCTCCTTTCCCAGATTTTAAATTTTAATTTGGAATCTTCTAAACTTCTAATGAAATTATTTAATTTCTGAATTCTGACAACATTAATATAAAATACAGAACCTATTAGAATTACAAGTCTTTTATTTTCTTTTTTTTTTTTTTTTTTTTTTTTTGGAGATAGTTTGTGGCTCTGTTGTCCAGGCTTGAGTGCAGTGGCATGATCTCAGCTCACTGCAACCTCTGCCTCCCAGGTTCAAGCAATTCTTGTGCCTCAGCCTCCAGTATATTTGGGATTACAGGCATGCACCACCATGCTCAGCTGTTTTTTTTGTACTTTTAATGGAGATGGGGTTTCACCATGTTGGCTAGGCTGGTCTTGAATTCCTGGCCTCAAGTGATCCACCTGCCTCAGCCTCCCAAATTGTTGGGATTACAGGCATGAGCCACTGTGCCCAGCCATAAGGCTACAAGTCTTTTTTGGTATGTCAGGTTTTTATAGGCAGCACCACTTTTACACAGAAACAATAAGCATGATAATTAAATATTTATGCTTATTCATTGAGTGTTGTACATTAAGTTTTCCCCACTTGCCAAAACCATTGGCTTAAAAAATATTTTTCTTGAAACATTTTTTGCAATTTAGACTTCCTGGTTTGACATGAGCCTTTTTTTCAAGTGAATCAGATTTAGTGAGAATGAAGTTCTTTGTATATTTGGGGAAGACATAGTAGATACCTTGAGTCCTTGCTCTCAGTCTGAGTGACATAACTTTAAAGTTGTCATAAAATTAAATGTTTGTTTTTTTTCTTTTCTCTCTCTCTCTCTCTCTCTTTTTTTTTTTTTTTAAAGAACTACCAGGGCAAGAGCACTTTGAACACAGCTGGATTTTCTTCTTCACAAGCATCCAATCCAGTAGATGATGAGTCATGGGATTAAAACTGAAACATCCTTCAAGTCTGTAGTTTTGATGCAGAGAAGAAAATAGTTTTCATTTTTGAGTTTTTAACAGAAGTATAAAACCTGACATTCTCATAGCTCCTGACCTTGTATTCTGTCTCCTACACTTAAAATTTGTACTGACTAGTTATGTGAGATGCTAAAAGTTACAACATTGCAGTTACTGATACAAATGGTGTTAACTAGAAATATTAAAGCATTCTAAATGTCTTTCTTATTTCTGGTATATTCTTCAGGAGGTTTAGATATGTTTAATGTTTAAATGCCAAGTCTTACTATAGTGTTTATTGATCTTATAAAACAAATATCTAGGTTATGATACACTTTTGGTTAAAAATTACTGGGTCTCATTTTTCACTTGAGCCTTGAAGACAGTAGGGTGTCACTCTAATGTGATAGCACGATCTTTAAGAAACAGTAGAAGATTTAAGCCTTTCAAAGTGATTTTGATTTTTAGATCATCAGATGTATGATGAAAATGGTTAAATGTTTGTGACATGAGTGCTGTACTCAATGGCATAACAATGTTTGTTTTTATAATATACACTCTTTCCTTGAAATAAAGGAACAAACACTTTTCCCTTAAGTTTTCCATCAGCACTTTAAATTTTTCTTTGTTCCATATCCTAGCCCCAACTCCTGTATTTTTGAAACTTTCCGTTTTTTTGTGTGTCTTGTGTAACCAACGTAGTGATCAAAGTTTCACATAAATTATTTATGTATAATATACATTACTGCACAGATGTGGCAATGAAAATCAGTCTTAGGACTCAAACCCATTTATCAACAAAAAACAGTGCTGCTTACTCTTGCCATAAGTTTTGATTCGTATCTTAAGATCGATGAAGAGCCCTGTGTTTCTTCATTTTCCATTATATATCTTAAACTTACTATGCCACTATGCCTAGACTATATGAAGTTCTAGAATATGCGAAGTTCTTTTCTTTTTTTTTTTTTTTTGAGATGGAGTCTTGCTCTTATCACCCAGGCTGGAGTACAATGGTGCAATCTTGGCTCACTGCAACCTCCGCCTCCTGTGTTCAAGCAGTTCTTCTGTCTTAGCCTCCCAAGTAGCTGGGACTACAGACGTGCACCACCATGCCCAGCTAAGTTTTATATTTTTAATAGAGATGGGCTTTCACCATGTTGGCCAGGCTGGTTGAACTCCTGACCTCATGATCCGCCTGCCTTGGCCTCTCAAAGTGCTGAGATTACAGGCATGAGCCACTGCGCCTGGCCTGAAGTTCTTAATAAATTGTTAAATGAACGAACCCAAATGTTTAACACCTAATGAGTTGTAAATAATGGGGAGACAAAAATTATTGGTATTGTTACTGTTCACCTAAACAATCCAGAATGACACACCCCTGATGTATATCTTGTTACAGGAATTAAGTTAATAAATGAGGCATCACATATGAAAAAGGAGGGCATATCAACAGATAGTGTTAGGATAACTGGATAGATTCCACCTCGTGCCATACTCAAAATTAACTTCATGTGAATTATGAAATATTAAAACTGAAATCTATTAACCCTTTGAAAGGCTGCTTTAAGCTAAGGAACAGAAATCACAAAGGAAACGACAGATTTGGTCACTAAAGGAAGGATTAGTTGCCTATATAAAAAAGTAAAAAGTAGAAAGGAAAAAATTACTGTGACCACAGTGGTTATCAATGTTCTTTATATGTGGATATACCAGTAGAAGAACACAACAAGAAACTCAAAAAGGGGAGCTCAATTAATAAAAATACAGGGAACATTTCACCTTTATTCTGTTATCTCACTTCTGGGAAAGGCTAAATGAATGAAGGTGTTTGCATTGTTATTTGTAATATTTGGTATGTCTCTTCACTTTCTAGTTTTGTTTAGGAAGAGTATAGGCCAGCCTTATTTTTTTCATTGCCATTTTTTTTTTAACAGATTGCCCCTTCTGAACTGATTCTTTTTAAGTTTTTGCTTGATTTGTCGGATTACCATAATAGCGTTACTGAATCAAATATAAAAAGAGAAAGGGAATGTATCATACATCTGTCCACCGCCATTACAGATGAACTGCAAATGTCCGTATGTTCAATTACTTTCCTCATTTCAAGGTTTAGGTTTGAACAATTTCTTTAAAAATTATCAAAGTAACACACATAAATTAGAAAATAAAACGCTATAGAAGCATTTATAATGGAAAACAATATTCTTCGGTTCCTCCCCTTCCAAATTGCCATTCCACATCCAACAGTCATTTCTGTTCAGTGCCATCATAAACAGGTTGAGTATCCCTTTCCTGAAATGGTTGGGTCCAGAAATGTTTCAGATGTCAGATTTTTTTTTTTTGGATTTTGTAATATTTGCATGACATATAATGAGAGATCTTGGAGATGGGACCCAAGTCTAAACATGAAATTCATTTGTTTCATATATGCCTCATATACAACTTGAAGATAATTTTTGATATTTTAAATAATTTTGTACATGAAACAAAGTTTGTGTACCTTGAGCCATCCCAAAACTAAGGTGTCGCCATCTCGATCACCCATGTGGACAATCTGTGCATCACATTGGTGCTCAAGGTTTCAGGTTTAGGAACATTTGGGATTTTGAATTTTTGGATTAGGGATGCTCAATCTGTATCTTTATCTCACCAACTTGAGACGTCTATTGACTTTAGATATGTAAAGATTTAACTCACATCTCTGACTTACCTTAGAAATATACTTTGTGAGATGATTTTAAAGGCAACTTTTCCTTTCCTCGGTTTGTCATCTGTAAACTGCACATTTACATTTCCCAAGTTAACATTTGCATTTTCTTCTATAACTGTAAAGTCTCCCTTGTTATATCCACAGGTTAATATTTAAATTTTAGTTTTAATATTTCATAATTCACATGAAGTTAATTTCATAATTCACAAAGTCTCCCTTGTTATAGCCACAGGTTCTAAAATTGAAAATAGCCAGTGTGTATATAAATATTGTACGCTGGATGGGCCAATTAACACTGTCTTGATTGCCTAATTTTATGACTTACGTGTCTGCAGGGAGAATAAGTGTCAAGGTTAAATGAAAACTGCGCAAAGCCATTCCACATACCAGTTTGCTTTAAATTTGGATCACACTCTTTTTGAGCAATTTGTTTACCCTGTTTGTAGTGGTTTTGTTGTGTTGTTTTGCCAGGAGAAGAAACATGCCTTTCTTATATTACCTTTCCAGGTTCAATGTTAATTTTCTTAAAAGATCCTAAAAGATATTGGTCGTCTTCAATTTCAGAATGATGAATGGGCCTTTTAATTTTGTGTAGTAGAGTGCTTTGGAGATTATCTTTTTTTTTTTTCCCTTGGTCCCTAAGAGTGTTTTTTATATTTAATAATTTTTTCCCGAGTTTTCTCTGTTCTCTATTTTTGGAACTTCTATTAGATTCTAGAACTGCTGAATTCTCTATTGTATCTTTCCTGTCTTTTTCATCTTTTATATTGTTTTTTTTTTACTTTTAACCCTTTTATTAGCAATTGTTCTTAATTCTCCAGAGCTCATTCACTTGCTCTGTATATGTTTAAATGTCGCTTAATAATAGTGAGTTTTGTGCTTCATTAGTACTTCTTAAATTCCTGGAATTTAACCTAAGAAATTATATATTATGTTGATCATTTGTTTTTCTGCTGCTTGGTGTCAGAAATCATAAGCCTTGAACATTTTATAAGTTGTATGCATCTCAGTTTACAATGGTGTTACATCCCAATAAACTCACTGTAAGTTGAAAATAGCCAAAAATCCATTAAATACACCTAAACCTGCTGAACATCATAGCCTTAGCCTAACCTACCTTAAACGTGCTGACAATGCTTGTATTAGCCTAAAGTTGGACAAAATCATCTATACAAAGCCTATTTCATAATGTGTTGACTAGCTCATTTAATTTATTGAAAACTGTACTGAAAGTGAAAAACTGGTTGTATATGGGCATTCACCATTAACGTACACAGCTGAAAGGACACTGGGCTGAAGAATGTTTGAAACGTCTAAAATTGCTGGATGACAGGGATGCCACAGTGACAGGGCAATCAATTTCTCTTCTGGTGAGGCTCGAGAATAAGCACTTGGGCATCCACACAGAACGCTGTGGAATTTGGGTGGTTTACCTTTGTGATCTCGTGGCTGGCTGAAAGCTGTGTCTGGCTGCTGCTTGCTGCCCCACATCGTGGTCTCTACCACATATTGCTAGCGTGAGAAAAGAGCAAAATTCACAGCACAATTTCTGCTGAATGCATATGGCTTTTACACCATCGTAAAGGCAAATCCTGTAAGTCTAACCGTTGTAACGGTCCGTTTGGTATAGTTAATGCAACTCAAGGTCAGCTTTCCTCAGATTCTGCGAGCTCTTCCATTTTTGTACCTTTCTGCTCAGCCCTTAGAATCTAATGCCCTTTTCTAACTCTTTCAAGGCCTGCTCTCAAGAGAAAAGTTGAGATGTGACTGATAAGTCTTAACTTTTCTTCTTGAATTATTTGCATTTTAGGAGTGAAAGGCTGTGACCTCGGCTAAAAGGAAGCTCAAAACGTGGAATCGCAAACACCAGCTACATATGTGAGAGTTTGGGAATGGTGGTGATGTAGTGGAGAAGAAAAGTCAGGGGGGTCCTGATTTAACACAGGATGGATAACTTACCTATTCCACCAGTCCCCTGGGATCTTGGGGGTGGAGTAGAGAAGTCTTTTCCGATTTCATTTTTCGCATTTACAACATTTCCCCCTATTTATTTAATAGAGACGGGGTCTTGTGTTGGCCAGGCTGATCTCGAACTCCTGGCCTCAAGCAAAGCTCCCACCTCGGCCTCTGAAAGTGCTGGATTACAGGTACGTGCTACAGTGTCTGGCCATGATAATATTCCTATTACATAGGACAGCAGCAGTGGTCAAAAGTTTTCCCCTTGCACCTTCCCCATAGCTTCACACTTGAGCTGGTTTGCGCAGTTCTCTCATTAGTGCCCTAACTTGGGAACAGGTATTTTTTCATTTTGTTTGATGTGGCCTTCATCGATTTATTAGTATATTGAAAATAGGGTGGTATTTCGTTTTCTACAGCATTTTCTAAAACCTTCACCGACTTGCCAGTTACCTGCTTGTGCTCACTGTTGGCTTTAGATTCTTTGTCCCACGCCCAAGCGCGAACCTAGTACCTCCTGCATGAAACTATCCAGAAGTCGCCTAGGTCCCCGGGCCCTGCAGGAGAACGCCACGTGGGGCCGGCCGGCTGGCTGTGTGTGGAGAGCCGCGGCGAAGCTGCTTCCGCCTGCGTCCGGAGCTCGCGGAGGCGGCTCGCAAGGGCGGTCCTGACCCGGTAGTCCTGCCGCTGTCCAAACGAGCAGCGGGAGCCTTCTGGGGGCGGAGCGAGAAGTTGGTCCGGCAGGCCTGGGGGACTGAGCTGAGAGTCGTGTCGTGGAGCGGCTCCTGCCCCGGGAGCCTGGGCTGGCCACACCCCGGTGAGTGGCGCTGTGGGGCAAGGCGCGGCTGGGCTGGCCCCGCGGGGTTTCCTCAGGCTCTCGCCTTAGAATTGCAGTTCTCGATCTTTGGATCACATACATTATAGAACCAAAGTTT